TATGTCCCTCAGCCACAGTCACTGCCACTTTCCAGACACCGAGCGTGGCTGAATACTAAAACCAGAGGTGTCCAAGTGACAAAATCTCCCAGCCAAAGGAGCCCCTGCCCCGGGTCGGGTAGGAAGAGTGAAGTTTCAGCTGCCTCCCAGGTGTGGGAGAAGCACCTGAAGGGAAAACCAAAGAGCTCAGTTGAGGAGGCTGAGTTTGTGGGAGCTCAGCGGGGTGGGCTGAGGGGCCCATTTTTATAGAGTGCGGGTAGCCCGAAGGTGGGGCAGAGTGGGGAGGGTTCTGGACATGGACCCAGGGCCTAGTGCTAGAGTGGGGGGGATGATCTTAAGCAAGAGGCCCCTGTTCTATGTCACATGCCAACTTAGCATCGTCACCCATTCATCTCACTCAGTTCTCACAAAACCCCTGAAAGGAACTATTGCCCCATTTTACAGACGGAAAGACAGACGTGGTGAAGCAATTGCCATGCTCATCACAGCTGATGACCCTGGAATGAGGGGGCGGCTATGTCCCGACCCTCCCCAAACCCAATGGGTAATTGGGTCTTAACCCCAGGTCTAAAGGGGGCCTTTCCAAACCGTTGTGGGAGAAGAAGGCAGGTCCTCCCCTGGTGACCCTTGACCCTGGCCGCCACAGCAGCTACCTGGCCCTCATGGGAAACTCGTTGTATGCCCATTTTACTAGCAAGAAAACTAAGACTGAGAGGACTTATGTTGCTGGCCCAGGGTCACAGGTCCTAAGCCCTGTCTGCCCCGATGCTTGTCTGGCTCCAAATGTGACACTCTTCCACCTGCCACACTGGTGTCTCCAGCCACTGCTCAGCCGAGTCTACAGTGAGGACACAAAGGAAAATCCCCAGGAAGTTTTCTCTGTACAACTTGTGCCTCAGATCCCACTCCCTGACGATAGGAGCTGCCAGTCCTGCCACAGGACACTCATGGCTGAGGGTGAACAAAGCAGCAGGCCTGAGCTGCGTCAGAGTCCAGGACAGAGCTGTGAAGGTCATTCACAGACGCTTTTCTCAGCAAGAGGCCCCAGATTTGCCAGGGGGAAGCCATTCTTCCGCACTGCCAGTCCCTTGTTAGGGGCAGGGCTGCCTCCTCACTTCAGGGGTGCGGGGACGGGGCTCAGACATGGTCAATCAGAGCAACAAATTCCCTTGGTTACAGCAATTGGTTCAGAGCCAATAAGAAACAATAGAATGAGAGAGAGAGAGAGAGAGAGAGAGAGAGGAGAGAGAATGTGAATAAGGCCTTCGCTGTGGTTTACTCTTTCCCACTGGACTTCCTGGAGCTGCTGTGGCCACAATACCACCACCAGGAATAAGCCACCTGAGAATGGGGATAACACAGAAAGGAAACTGGCTTAGGAAAAATAGAAACTAAGCACCGACGGCATCATCTGAGCACCTAGATCCAGCTATACCTGATAGCAGCATGCCTTTTTAGTTTTATGAGCCAATTAATCCCCTTTTTGCTTATGCCAGTTTTGGCTGAAAGTGACAGAAAGCCCAACCTAGAGTGCTTACTGACACAGTAGCTCTGGAGAAAAAAGCAAGCTGAAGAAAGTCCCCAAGATGCTCTCCATGAATCCAGCTGGACTGGAGGAACTGCTGGGACACGGGCACAGCTATGCCAGAGCAGCCTTCCAGTGAAAGGCATAACCCCCCCTAACAGATCAAAGGGGTCCTAACAAAACATTTACCGACTGTTTTTCCATCTCCTCCCCAGTGGCAGGCGTTCTTTTGCCCCAACTCAGCCTTCTTTAATTGCCCAAACTGGCACCACCAGGTGTTAACCCCAGAGAACAGTGCCTGGGAGCCAGCACGGACCAGGACGTCAGAGTGTCAGGGAAGCGGAGGAGGCGCGGGGTCTCTGAGTGCCAGCCTCTACTGACCTCCGCGCAGAGGCTGGCGCTGGACAACAGCCCAGCCTCAGGCAGAGGCCAAGGCAGTGGCCACACGGCGCCCTTAAATAGAACCTCCACCCGGGAGGACAAACATTCCAAGCGCTTTTTAAAACGCCCCAAGCATGACCTGGCTGGCGGCCTCCGCTCCCCCAGGCATTTTTCTGGTCTTGGCCCCATTCTGGAAATAATATTAATAGCTCGGTTAGGACCTTACGGTGTGCAAAATACTTTATGGCCTTAAAAGGCAGGAACGATTACTGTTCCCACTCTCCAGATGAGGAAACTGAGGCCCAGGGAGTTCCTAGGCTACAAGGGCAACTAGTGGGGGCTCTCTACGCTGCCTCCAGTGCCGGCCGGGTGTTGGGGCCTTCCAGCAGCTCCCCCCCGCCCGATGGGGCTTACACAGCAGGACAGGAATGGGCCCCCGCTGGACCAGCTACCAGCTGCCCGGTCCGGTTCCGACCGGCGCCAATAGATAGGTGATGCCCCCAGGAGGCTCCGGGACGCGCTAGCTCCAGGAACGTCCCGATCTTTTGCGAAGAGTTTAAACCAACTCCCAGTTCTCGGCCTCTCTTGGTACATTGGACCCCGCGAGGCAGCCAAGGATAACTTTCCTCTTTTGTTTTAAAAGATACAAGGACAACGAGGCTAATTTCTCCCTTGGGAATAAAGCTGACAGGTGAGGCGCGGCGGCGCATCTCAGTTTCCTAGAAGTTGAGCTTGGAGCAAATCTCGGAACAAGTCCACGGAGGGGACGGGGCCCGCGATCCGGGAAGCCCAGGACCGGGGACTCAGGTTCTGCTGTCCCAGGGGAACTTCCGAGCAGGGTCTGCGGCTCCTGCTCCCGATGGCCCAGTCCCGCCGGGTTCCACCCCCACGCCGGCATAGACTCGGGGCGCATAGGATCTAGGGAGTTGAGTCAAATGATAAAGACACCCCCCGAGACTCCTGAACTATCCCACCCAGTCCCACCCAAGCAGAGCCCGGGACTCCCGTCCAGAAAGTCCGATCCACCACCACTTCCCCCTCCTTTCCCTCCTGTGTCCCCGGCGCAGGGCCCTCGAGGGCGCACGGCACGCGGCGCCGGGTGCTCACCGTTTGAACATGCTCTCCAGGTCCTTGATGAGGCGGCGGCTGAACTCTGGGAACTCCGTGAAGGGGTTGAAGACTTTGCAGCGCCGCGGCCGCGCTGCGCCCTCGTTGATGTCCAGCCGTCGGCTCAGCTGCGCGCTCAGCTCGGCGTCGGCACTGGCGGTGGGCGACCGGACCGGCTGCTCCGGCTCCGGGGCTGGGACCGCGCAGGGCGCGAACTCCGGGCGGCCCTCCGCTTCCTCCGGTTGCATTCGCCCCTGCAGCTTGCGCGTTAGCTCCTCGTTGGCCATAGCGGCGGATCGGGGACACAGGACCTGGCACAGGGACTGGGCAGGCGGCGCGCTCCTCTCAGGCTCGCTGCTATGCGACTCTGCTAAAGCGGCGGGATGGGCTGCCGGGTAGAACCGCAGGCGGGGGATGGGGCAGAACGGGGAGGAGCCCAGGCTTTAAGGAGGCGCCAGGGCTCGGGGACCGCCTGCCCCGGCAGAGGTCGCAGGTGTCTGCGCGTCCCGGGACCCCTACCGGCTCCCTGCCCCCCCGGAGGCTCCCAACGCGAGGCTGACCGCCCCTCGGGATGGGGCTTGGACCTCCGATCACCTCTGACCTTGCTACTGGCGCTCGCTCAGGGGGAGCCCGGGGTCTCTGCAGTCCCCGGGAGAGCAGCAACGGGAAAAGGTTTCACGATTCTTGGGGCAGTGCCTTTCTCGTTCCCTAGAAGTGTCCCGACTGGAGGCGCTCGCGGCCCAGACTAGGCTGGGGGTAGGGTGAGCCGAGCAGTCCTGGGTGTCCCCCACACGCCCCCACGGCTGAGGGTGGGAGGCGCCGGCGGGGGAGCTGCTTTTCAAACACGCATCGAAAAGAAATGTTTCCAAAACTAAAAAATACTAAAAAATAATAAAACAGAAAAAAGGGCAAGGAGCGAGATGAAACTCGTGGCTCCCCTGGAGGTAAGAGACCAGCGCAGCTTCAGAGGCTCCGGCTTTTTCTGCGAAACACGCAAGAAGAAGAAAAAAGAAGCTTGGAAATAAATAATTCGGCGTTTTTAACAAGAGGGTAAAAACAAGTACGGTAGTCATTCTCCCTAAGGAAGGCTGACGCCGACGGCTGTTACACATCAGCCAAGCATTGAGAAATGTCTTGTAAACACCGGTCTGCCCCGGACCAGACCCGACTCTGCTTGAACGCCTCTGGGGCTGCTGACCTGGGCGTGTCTGCGACCCCGCCCGCTGGGGGCGCAGGAGACCCTGGAGCCGCCTTTGGCTTGCCTGTGTTGGGCACGCGGAGGTCCTGGGCATCAGTGAGGGCCTATTTGGGGGGGGGCGGCAGGTATGTTGTTTTTTTAAACTATTAAGGAAAATATTAAGTTTTTAATAAAGGTATCAAATAAAATCTTTTTAACATCCCTATTGAACAATTTGATTTGATCATGCAAAAGCATCCTTTTTTACATCAGATTTTATGCTTGAAATGGTAATGGGTGGACCCCTCCAAACACATCGCAGGGCACCACCCTTCCTGACCTGGTGGTGGCGACTAGAAGGTTTGCTTTGTTGTCACTTGTGTTTTGAGCACTTTTATGTGACCTATTTCACACGCACACCAAAAAAAAGATTTTAAATTCTTAATAGTCTCCATTAACAAGAAACTATGCATGGGTAATAAAAATGTAAATAATCAGGGCCAGCCGAATGGAGTGTTGGTTAGGAGTTGG